TTGGAAGTGTTGACCAGTCCAGCCCGAATGAGAATAACTTTTGGGAATCAATTTTATGTGAAATTTGGGGAAAGTGGGAGGCCTACTCATCTGACTGTGGGAAAATTGAGCTTGGAACGTCGACTAATGCAATTGTTTAGGTTCAAATTGGAGAACAATTACTTGACGCAGTGACGTAGTCTATTGCAATAGCAAAACATGCTGGTTACTGGCGTACCTTTCATTTCGTTTGAGAAGGCGGGTCGAGGGGATTCGTAGATTGGCCTCAACGGATATCGCAGGTTTGCCTTGAACTTTTGTCGGTTGAACTGAGCGAATAAGACCTCGGCTCATCGTCCTACCAGCCCGATGACTCTGTGCTGAGCTTTCGCGCGTCATGTCACGGTTATCGTCAGAGCCAGAAACCATTATTCACGAAAAGAATCACCAAAAGCACTCGACCGAGAAAAGTGGCCAGCTGAGACCCTTCCTACTACTCAATGTCTCTTGTTCCCTTTCCTTCTCTCTCTCTCTCCCTCTCGTTACATTTAGTTCTTACTTAGTTTCCTACATTAATTCCTCTTATTCAGGATGATGCTTGTTTTATTCGTTTCACGTGACTTCAGTTTTGCCGTGAAGACCCCATCTTCGGCAAAACGTTAGACCAATCTATCTGGTGTCCTATAGCGACCACATGTTCAGCCATTTCCGATTTCTCGATACATAAACCTTTATAGGCGATTATGTATTCTTATATATGTGTCGACACGTCTTCCCATACTACCACTAACACATGAGCTTAAAGCCTTATAACAACCGTCGGAAGGGCGTCATAAATTCCTCTAAAAGAAGGCATGACGAGGAAAGCGTTATTGTTTCTTTATGCCATGTCTGGACACTGCATTTCCTGCGTTATTCGCCATTCTTTCTTGAAAGCTGCCAGGACGATAGCATTAGGAACCTGGACGAAGAGTTGTCATATTCCTTGTTTTAACCAAAATAATGGTTTTCCTTTACCCTATTTCTCAATATCC